TGAAATTCCATATCCTCCAGAAATCTCATTATGATTAATACTTGAATTGTATAGAAAAAAATTTTAATGGCAGTCAGATTTTTCTGATAATATATGTTCTTTTTACTCATTGCTAAAATTTGTATTGAGCAATATGGCAGGGATGACAAGAAAATTTACTACTTTAGAGACTTCAGGGAAAAAGAAATCCTTCTATATTGTTGGTGGGAAAGTAAATAAATATAACCATTATAGAAATCAGTGTGGTGGTTCCTCAAAAAAACAAAACTAGAAATTCCATTTGATCTAGCTATTCTCCTAGGTATTTTCCCAAGGGAATTAAAGACATGTTACAGTGACGCCCATATTTACAGCAGCACAATGCTTAACAGCTAAATCTTGGAACCAGGTTCTGATGTCAATCAACAGATGAATGGATAAAGGAAGTGTGGTGGTTATACACCAGTGAATACTACTCTGCTATAAAGATAAACCTGAATCATTTGTAGGAAAGTGGATACATCTTGAGACACAATGTTCAGTGAAAAAAATCAGACACACAATCTTAAATAATTCATGGCTTCTCTTATATTAGAACCCCAAATTATAAGAAAATAGACAAGACAGACTAAAAGGAAGTAGAAGAAAGATCTTTCTCAAAGGGAAAAGATCAAGAGAGGGAGGGAAGTGGGGGTTGGGAAAATAATTTTTTTTCATAATTTTATTGAGAAATAAATAGCAATGAGATAGTTTCAAATTGAATTGGGGAAAATAAATTAAGATGTGCTATGTACAGGTACCAACTCCAAACAACGAATATAAACATTCTGTACTGCAAACATGTACTAGCTTAAAAATTTCTAAGGTAATATGCAAATTAACCAGCCAAATAATTTTAAGTTTTATTCAGGGGCTGGAGATCTACCTTAGTGGTTGAGTGCTTGCCTACTTGCATGAGGCCCCAGGTTGATATCTGGTTCTATCTACACTCCCAAAAGTCAAACAATAAAAAAACTACTGCATGAGAAAAATACACGCTATCAAAACAAGAACAAAAAAATTTTATTCATACTGTGATTAACTTTGTAAACTTAGTTCTTAACAGAAATAAGGAAGAGGAAGCCTAGGATATAGCTCAGCGGTTTAAGTGCTTGCTTGGCTAGCACAAGGTCCTGATTTGATTCCCTGTATAAACAAACAAACAAACAAAAAAGAAAGTAAGATAGCTTGACTAAGTGCCTGCTTAGGCAAGCGCAGGGACCAGGGTTTGATCATCAGCACATGCTGTGCCAGCCTCACCCCTGGGTGCACTGAGCAGGTACAGAGACTGGGCGTGGTGGTGCATGCCTGTAATCTTAGCACTGGGGAGGCTGAAAACAGGATGATCACTAGGAGTCAGAGCTGCCTAGTGAGAACCTATACCAAATACACTTAAAAAAAAAAAGGATGATTTTCCACTAGAGGAAGAGAACTTAAATGGCATTAGTACAACTAAGTAAATGGAATGATTTTACTTTATTTCTAGTGGACTCATTACTTTTCAAATTATTTAAAGATATTCTTTAAAGATATTCATTATTCATATCATGACCTGATAAAGTCTCAAGGTTCTACAGTATCTATTTTTAAAAAGACATGGCTTAGTTGTTACCCACTTTTTCCACAAACCTTTTTTGCTTCGTCCCGAGTGAGCTTTACACACATTAATGGTGTAAGGTTCATCTGTACCTTTTTTCATATCATTTACAGACACATGAGGTCCATATTTTCTAAGGCCTAAACTTATACAATGAGGATTATCTACTACTAGTAAATATGCAAACACAAATAAACTCGTAAAGAAGGAAGTGAAGAAGGGTTAAAGGCCGGGGAGCTGAATGGGGAAAGAAAGGAGAATCAAGATAAATAAACTTAGAACACAGGTCCTAGCTTGGGCTCTAGGAAAGAAGAGTGAATTATAGACTAAACTTTATGTATCTCTCACAAAAGAAAAAAATCTATGAGGTTTCTACTTTTACCATTGGTGTTTCTAGTCCCAACAGTTTCTCTAAAGCTAACGCTACAATGGCAGTGTGATATCCTTCCATAGAACAATGGATCAAAACATGAGGATCTTCCTTAGGAAATTCTCATTACCCCTTCTTCATTCTTTTTCTTGAGGGTTCAACTCTTACCCAAACCAACCTCCCTTGTGAGTAAAGTTGAAGCACACTTTATGACTGTATTCATACTAACCATGATCATGCCTGCTTTGTAAGCTATTGTAAGAAGCATAGCTATTGTAAGAAGTATAATTTCAATAAGGGAACAAAAATCTTGACAGAATATAGTATACACAATAGCAAAAAGATTAAAATTATTTATTTTTTCAAAAGAGGCCGAATTTCTTTTCTAAATTAATTTTATAATGAGACACTGAAATGTGTTGTAGAGCTCAGTATCGTGCATCTTGCTCCCCAGGTCTATTAGTGAAAGAGTATGTGAAGCACCACAAATAACAGTCTAAGTACCGTGGACCACTTTGTAAGATATGTTTCTGAATTATATCCTCAAAATATACATTGAGAATGCCAAAAACTATCCCTGGGCAAATATTTTATTTTTAAAAAAGAGGGATATATGTAGGCACAAATCCTACACATATCAAGAGCCAGGTTTCCTAGTACAAAGACACTCACCAGCCTAATAAAAAACTCTATGTCTAGTGATGGAACGACTAGCCAAAGACCACAACAGTGTTCAAGGACTGAAATAAAACATTTAAACAAAGAAAAGCCCACGAAATGGGAGAGAATATTTGCAAATCAACTATCTGATAAAGGACTTACATCCAGAATAAATAAAGACAACCAGGCCAGGGAGATAGCTCAGCAGAATAGGCACTTGCCTGGCAAGCGCAAAGTCCCGAGTTCAATCTCTAGTACCGCAAAAACAAACAAACAAACATAAATAAATAAATAAATAAAGATAACCTAATTTTAAAATGGACAAATGATTTGAATAGACATTTCTTAACAGATAATATAGAAATGGCCAATAAGCACACAAAAAATGTTTAGTATCATTAGTCATTAGGATAACGCAAATAAAAATCATAATATTTAACATATCCAAGAGTACAACTGTAATTGTTTAAAGATGGAAAATAACTTGGTTATAACGTGGGGAAACTGGAGCCTTACACATTACTGGATGGATTGGTGGAACTACTTTGGAAAAAAGTGTTATAGAGCCTCAAATAATTAACCAGAGTTCCAGTATGAACAAGCATTTGCACTCCTAGATAGTTCTTCAAGCAAGATAAAATACATACCCACACAAAAATGTATATAAATGTACAGAGAAGCATTGCAATAGACAAAAATGGAAACAACTCAATTGTCCATCAGTTGAAGAAAGGAAAAAAAAAAAACATAGCTCATTGGTACATTGAAATAGTCCTTGGTAACAAAAAGATAAAAAATCCTGTAACATGGGTTAACCTTGAAAAGATCCTAATTGCAAGAAGATGGTCACAAAAAGCTACATAACATGATTCCACTTACATGAAATGTACACAATAAATCAGTTGAGACAAAGAGTACATTAGTGCCTGCCAGGGACTGGGAAGAGCGGAACAGTAACCACTAATGAGTGAGGTTTCTTCCTGGAATGACCAAAATGTTCTGAATTAAAGGCAATGGTTGAATATACCAAAAACCACTGATTTGTGTACTTCAAAGGTAGATTTTATGGTATGTAAACTGTGCTTCAATATGGTTATTTTAAAAACAAAAATACATAGAAAAGCATACTTTTAGATCAAAATATGAATATTTTAAGTTTGTATTTTATTAATAACATCATGACTATGCTAGAAAAAAATCATAATTGAAAGTTCCCTTTGGGGATCTTAAGGCTGACACTGAATTGAAAAGGTATGTTTGTAAAAGCAACTTAATTCTAAGAAGGTTTAGGTCAAAGGCACAGAGGCCTACTAGGACATTTTCTCCAAAACACCTAGCTTTTTTGAGAACTAAAAGAACAAAAACCATTTCTGCTTCTTCTGTTTTGTGCATGTCTACTCATCCTTATCCATGTTTCTACATCTGGCCTATTAGATCAGAATCATGAACTCAAAAGCATAGGGCTCAAATCCCCTGTAAATAAAAACTCATAAAGATCAAATATTTGCATTAAAGCCATTCAAATGTTAGATTTAGAGGTATGGATACTTACTCAATTATTCTACCTTCTCAATCTATTCCAGTTAGGATGGCATATTCCAAAAACGCTACGTATTTGATTCTTTTAAATTTTGAGAGAAAAGATCAAATTTTTCTTTTGGAAATGTTTGTTGTTTTTGTTTTTGTTTTTAAAAACCTTGTTTTGAACCAGCACATCTACTAAAATGTAGCAACGTGAAAACAGCTCACATAAATAAATATAGAAAAACATCACATCTACTGTGAGTATGTCTTACCTAATATTATTTGTCTTCAAAAAGCAACTAAATGTAACTTGCTTTGATGGGAAAGCATTTTAAAAGTCAGGTTTCCAAACGTAACTTTCCTACAAAAAAAATTCAGCTTAAGGTCAGCTTAAACCTAGCCATGCAAAACCAACAGCACAGTCTTATTTATACCTTTCCTCTCAGCCCTGAGGCCCATCACCTACATGGATGGCATTAACTCAGATGAATTTCCTTCAGATTATCACCTGGATGTAATACATTTCATCATTTCTGTCTTTCTGAGAACGAAAAAAGATGGAACCCTAGCAAACTGAACCAACAGTTTTAGAAGAGTTGATGTCGCAGAATTCTTGGATATATATGGATGAGGGACTTCTGGTCACCTCATGTGTGCCATACCTGGTATGCACTGTGCTGTTGCTTCAGTTGTTATGGTTGGAGCGACTGGAGGCTGTTGTTGACTGGAGCTTACTTCTGGTTCTGTGTTCACTGAGGGAGAAAGGGCTACTTCACACGATGAGACCTGGCTGGGCAGATGGGGTAAGAACTCTTCAGAAGCAACTTGCTCATCCTGTCCTGGCAGCTGCAGGGCAGACAAAGGAATACTGATCTGTTTGTTTGGATGGGATGTGCTCACAGGCATCTGCAATGCTGCCTGCTGGTTGGTGCCATGGGCACCAGGGGGAGGTCCTCTGCTTGGTGAAGCCAGAGATACCCTAGTAGTCTTTGGGATGATTGATCTCGAGATCACAGACGGGGATGCAGACAAACCATGTGAATCTAGCTCCGTGCTGATGGCAGATGTTACATGGGGAATCAGCTTAGCAGATCCTATACAGGAGGGACCAGCATGAGTCTGAGGCTTGGGTTTTGCCATTTGTGTCAATGACAAGGCTGGTCCATCTACTCCTCCTGTGAGCTCTGCATTTGCCACAATATAATAATCTTCTGGTATCTCTTGTTTTATTTTCTTGATGATGACATCATTGCTGCATTCATCAACCATTTGCACCTGGGAGCCTGAATGGAGTGAAGATGGGAGTATTCCTGGTCTTTTGCGAGTGATACTTTGAGGCCTTTGAGTTTGGGGTTCAAAGTCACTATCCTCATCTGTAACGGAAGATTCACAAACCATGTCAAACAGGGTGTTTTCATCTTCATACTCTTCCACAGCTTCATCTAGTTCAGAGGGCTCACTGCAATAAGAGAAGTCACAAGAGTCTCTGGTCCGATTGCAGTCTAGCTTTGCTTTCACTGGTCTCCCAGGGTACCTTTCAACAGGGCTAGTCTGTGTCTCAGAAGGCACCCCAATTATACTGGGACTATCAGAGTTAAAACTTCTGTTGTCTTGGAAACAGACCCTCTCTTGTGATCCAGCTCTGCAGATAGCTGTGAGAGGCCAGTGATAGGCATGGCCAGCACTACAGCCCCACATTGCAGTCAGGTTCCCATGGGAACCTTCAGAAAGCAAGTGTTTCAAGTTTGGAATGAGGCTGCAAATGGTCCCATGGCTGTGGGCCCAGCTGACCAATTTGGACAAATTCTCAGATGAGGTATGAAGACAGTCCTCCATGTTACAGGATCAGTGGTGTCTTTCCTAAAAAGAAATAAAGAAGCCATTATTATTCAAGATATTCTCATATCTTAATTCTTCCACCTATGAATATTCAGCATAAAAAATGCACTTTAACTATACCTAGTTAATATCACAGCATATGGTTAGGGACAGGTAGTAAATACAGCAAAAACTAAAAATGATTCATATTTGGAGAAGACGTTAGTTAAGTTCTTTTTTTTTTTTTTTTTTTAGTTAAGTTCTTTTAGTGTTATAAAAATGCATGAGCAGGAAAAGAAAAGAAAAAAAGACAAGCAATTAAAAACAGGTGAGAATGGCTGGGAACACAGCTCAGCGGTCTAAGTGCCTGCCTGGCAAGCACAAGGTCTAGAGTTTGATCCCTGGTACTGCATGCCATGCTGGCCCCAGAACCCTGGGGAGCACTGTTCTGGCCCTGGAACTAGGCATGGTGGCACACTCCTGTCATCCCAGCACTGGGGAGGCTGAGGCAGAAGATCACTTATCAAAAACAAAAACAAAAAACAGGCAAGATAAAGGCTCAGTCATCCCTCAATAATAAAGTATGTGTTATATTAACCAAGACACACTTCCAATGTCACCTTCTAGTAAACTTCATTACTAGAGGCAAAGCCAACTAAGGCTTAGATCCACTCTAGGATGAACATCAGAGAAGTTAAACCTCAGCCAGGCAAGAAAACAAAACACCTGTGAGTCCAAGGGGAATAACAAGCTAAACTTGGATAGTGGGGAAGATGTCTTTAACAGTGAAAGGAGAACAAACTTGGAGGAGACAGGATGTGGATCAGAAGCAAGGATGGAGCAGCCAGAGTCAGGGCTTTAGCCAATCCTAGGAGCAGGTTTTTCACTCCTATCTGAAATATCACCTTTCATCATACAATTAAGATAAAGGTTGTGTTGAATGTATTCCGTCATTTCAGAGTACCATAAACCCAAGAATAAACAACTAACAAACAGGAATAAACCATTCCAAACTGGGCAGGAGTGAGGATCACTTCTTATGAGTCCTTGGTTGGGTAACAGTGAAGATATTACAGTAGACAGGAATACTGAAAGGGGGCATGTGGAGTCTTTTAACAAGGCTCTGCCAAGAGGAAGCTACTAAGGAACTGGCGGAGAAGAACAGGAATCTGTGTGTGTGGCTTAGTCTGCCTTGACAATCTGCAGCTATAGGACAAGAGGTGTCTTTGTGGAGGTGGGCTCTGCATTAAGGAATCAACATAAATGCAATGCCAGGTGACTATGCCAAAATGCTCAACTGCCTGCCTTCTCCCCGTGGCTTTCCATCATGGACTTACTAGCTCATATCCCTTATTGTATTACTGAAGACTCTGGGACGTGACCATGGCTACCTCCCAAGCCTCATTTCCTACTATCTGAGTCCTCTGTACTTCTTGTGATACCATGTATCTAAACAGATTCTTAACTCTAGACCCAACTGGGCCTCTACCACTTCTTTTTGGCTTGATATGCAGCCCTTCTCTTTTCTCACCTGGAAATCCACTTTCAGCCTCTAAGATTCACTTTGCTTTCCTTCACCTGTGCCTCCATCATCTCTAGAGGAATTTATCTCTGCAGTGCTATGATTACTGACTTTCTTGTCTGTATCTCAGATTTGGATCCCTAGGACAAGGACTATGATTTAATCATTCAACAATGATGACCTATTTGAGGGTGCAAAGTCATGGTACTGCTCTTGAGACACTGTAATCTCTGGCATATAGTTGATGCTGAATAAATCAATGAAGAATGAACGAATATATAAATACCATAAGCATTATTAACAGTAACAAACATATAGGTCTTTCAATAAACGTGAAACCTCCTCTGATTACTTTTACTGTAATTGTTCACAGAATTAGAGTAGTTTCTCACTGATATAATAAAACCTCAGTGGTCTTGTATATGCAGGGAGAGAATAAACAGTACTCATTGTACAAAACGCTTGGGATCAAGTGTTTCTGTTTCTGGAGACTTCTGAATTCTGGAATATCTGCACAGATCCTAGTGGCTGAGCATCTCTAATTCAAAAAGTGGTAGTTGAAAATGCTCCAAAATCCAAAACTTCTTGAATGTCATGTGTGCACCCCAAAATTTTGGATTTTTAAGTATTGAGAATTTCCAATTTGTGGGTTAAGGACACTCAACTTGCAATACATGACAGACCCAAGATCATCAAGGAGCACAGTAAATCAAAAGAATGGTGACTGGTGTAGGAATCAGGAAACTTCAAATTTTAGGCCTGGAACTTTAGTCAGTGGCCTCAAATAAGTCAACAGGAATCTCTAAGCCTGAGATGATGAGATCATATGATCTTACATTTCTTTCATGCACTAATAATTTAGGGACTTATTTATACCTACTTTATACTTCTTTGGTTAAAGCAGAAACATAGATAAAAGAGAAGACTGGTTTGTGTGTTTGTGAAAGACTGGTCTCATGAATTTAGGGAGAATACCACTGGGGCTACTTTTCTAAGCCAAAATGTGTGTCTTGATGACACAACAGTAAAGTTTCCCATATAGTTTGGTCAAGAACGATACCATTCTCTAACAGCAATGTACTACACAGGAGTACAAGCAGTTATAATCATATATGATATTGTAGGCAGCTGGATTAGAAATACTTTTGGTAGTGAGTCAGAGCTGGGACCTGGAAGGAGCCAGCGCAGAACATGAGATACCTTGCAACTGTGGGAAAGACAAACACTTCAGCTTTGGGCCAGACCTCAAGACAAAAGATTAAACAAATGCACCCACATACCTCCTTAGGGATGGCTGTCAGGGATTAATATTCTAAATAGGTATCAATCCCTTGAGGAAGCCCAGATCCACTAACCGAATCCTCTCTAGAAAAAGCCGCTGTTCTGCATTCATATCCTTGCTGCAGGATTCCTTTCCCCATTTGATCCTGATTTAATCAATTTTACCTGAGCAAATATTCTTGTAATCTTACTGGTTGACCATAGTTTTGTCCCACATCATACCTACCTACCGTTCCCATTTTTTCTCTCTTTGGACCTGCCTCATCTCATGGATTTGCTCTGTAAAAATCCCTAGAAAAGCAGGCTCTTCAGCAACTGTCTTGGGCCCCCTTCTGTCTCTCTTGCACGGAAGCTTTTTTCCTCCATAACTACATTCTGCTCTTAACCTCTGTTATTCCTAAAATTCATTCTTTGCTGTTAGATAACATGAACTTGTCCCAGATATCTTTCAAGTTGGGAGTTTCTTTCCTCTATATCAATATCACAAATTAGGAGTCCTAATTTGAGTAAAAACTGAGTTAAAGAACTTCAGAGGCAACAAGTCCTAACACTGCAATCTATCAAGAAACAAGGCTGATCTAGCAAATAAAAGAGCTGTAGAATTCCAGGAAGCACAATCCTATGCAGAGGACAACAGTTTATTATTCGTGGAGACATAAGATAAAATAGCAATGAAATATTCATGGCAATAGCTAAAAAGGTGCCAAAGAATACACCACAGAGTCCAGGCTAAAGGGAGAGGAGTAGACCTTACTGAACCCACACGGCCAACCAGAAGTCACAAGTATAGGAACGAAACCTGCAGTTTGAACTAGCTGGACTATTCTGCTTCCCAAATGTTAATCACAGTGAAACTGGAACATTTAATCAGCGCAGTATGACTCCCAAAATGAAGAAACTTACGACAAAGCCAAATTTATAGAAGAAAAAAATATTTTAACAGTTTTGAACTTAAGCTTTAATAACATGTCTGAGTGCCTCTGACTAATGTTTCAGCAACAGAAAGGGAAAATGAGATCTTCCAGTATAGCTGTTTCACTAGCAAGTTATAGGGAATCATTCCTTTTCTTTAGAGATAAAGACAAATGATTATCTGGTCATCCATGAAAAACTTAGAAGTTATTAATATGAGCTGTCTGAAAAGCATTTTTAGAGATTATATTTTTATTACTAGTTTTTTTCATTTTATGTATTTGGCACAGGGTCTCCCTATGCAGCTCCGACTTGTAGTGATCCTGTTTTCAGCCTCCCTAGTGCTGGGATTACAGGTGTGCGCCACCACGCCTGGAATCGCTCAGCACAGTCCAGGGGTGGGCCGGCTTGGCATGCAGGACTGGGGATGGAATCCTGCTCCCTGCGTTTGTCAAAGCAGAGAAAGAGATTATAAAGATATTTATGCTTAGCTAGAGCATTCAGGGAAACCATTTCTTCTGTTATCTAAAGTATACATTCTAAATTTTAACACTTAATAGGTTAGCCACAAGAAAAGTCCTACATCTCCAAGAAGAAAAGGAGTATTTCTAGCATCTAAATTACAGCGAATCATGGCTAGGCATGGTGGCATGCACCTATAATTTAAGCATTAAGGAGGCTGACTGAGGCAGGAGGATCACTACTGGACTACATGGACTACATAGTGAGTTCAAGGCCTGCCTGAACTACACAGTGAGACAATGTCTCAAA